TCCACCGGGCCACAGACCCGCGGGCGCAGCAGGACCCGCACAAGGCAGGGGCCCTGGCCTGGCTCTGAACTGAAACGTCCCCTTGAATGCCATGCGACGTGGCCTAGCGCACAGGCTGCAGCGACGGCCTTGGTGACGTCATGCACTTGGAGACACAGGCTTCAGGGACCTCACCCGTGTCCCCACTGTGACTCTTCCCCGGGACTGGAACCATCTCAGTTCTGCTGTATTTGGTGGTTTTTGAGCAAGGGTGGCACATTTCTTAGACTTTATACTCATTTTTTCAATGATTCATCCAAGAAACAGGGATTCACTGTTCCCTGTCTGTCAGGTGTGGCCGGGCTTCATGTGATGGGGTTCAGCTCTGGGCGTGCAAACTCAGGGTGCTTGGGGGCTCCCTGGATGACAGGGCACGCACCTGATTCTCCAGGGAAAGGTGGTGGGGTGAGTGTTCAGGCAAGTGAAGCAGCAAGGGCAGAAGTTCAGGGGCAGGAGAGGACACATGATGAACCAAAGATGAGCATGGGTGGAGGGGGAGGTGGCGGGGGAATGGGGAGAGGCAGGGGTCAGGGCAGGAATGTCCTTGTCTCTCCCCCTTGGGGAGCTGGGCTTCTACTGAGGGTCACAAGAAGCCACCAAATGGTAGACAGAGGTAGTTGGAAAGACTGTAGGCCTTGGACGGTCTTACCTGGCTTCACATTCCAGAATCATCTGTTACTAGCTGTGGGGTCTCCTATACTCGGGGAAACACTTCTCAGAAAGATAGGGCTGCAGTCGTCCCTGCCCTGCCTTCTTCACAGCACTGCATGAGAATTAAATGAGGTAAGGACTCCGGAAAGACTCCGGAAACTGTGAAGGGCCCACCTGTTAAGGTCACTCTGAGAAGTGACAGATACACAAGGAAGGAAGTAGTGTCATAAGATGCAGACTGAGGAAGTGTAATAGGAAGTGTCAGGAAGGACAGAGAAGGAGCATGACACAAGTTTAGGGGCCTATATATGGCCGTTCCACATCCAAACCCACGCTCGTAGACACATGCGCACACGCACACGCACACACACCCCTGCCCGTATACACGTGCCCAGACGTATGCACACCCGCACACATATGTTCACACTCATGTACGCATAAGATACACCTGCCCACGGATGCACGCACACACCCGCACACGTATGCCCACACTCACATATGTACACACACACCCTGCCTGTGTACAGACGCAGACACACACGTGCACAGATGTATATTCATGCACAAGCCCCTCACATACCCACCCTCTACACGTACACACAGGGCACACCTCCAGTTTGCCTCCTTGTGGGAGCTCAGCCATTGCTGTAGAGTCTTGGCGTCTCCCACGCCTGGCCTCATGCAGCCCTGCCCATCTTGGGCGCTCGTTACATTGAGGTGATGGAGCTTGTGAGGAGCTTCCGTGGACCGGAGCCCCTCTGGCACGAGCTTGTGGCCGACTCAGGCACCAGGCGGTTATCTGCGCTGTTTTGAAAGACTTGGGTGGGAGGCGTGGCGTCCTCGAGTGGTTCATTGTAACCCAGGGGCCTCGTGGGAACGTGGTATGTGAAGTACCCCACCAGCAACAGCCTCCCCTCTTGGCTCGCCGCCACCTCTGTGGGATTCAGCCGTGAGACACAGCTCTGTTTTCCCGTAATTGGTCTTTTGTTTGTCATGTTGTGATGCCCTTGAATGTCTCTGGGCTGTTTTGGTGTCCCCGGGGGGTGGTAGTTGGTGCGGTGTATAGCAGAGGGGACGTGTGGTGGGGCTTGAGCCCACTCGTGGAAGGCTGTGCACAGAGGTGAAGTGTTGTCCTGGGGCTGGTTTTCCCAGGCACGATCTTGTTTGGCAAGACAGCCCCCTCCCTGTACTTCTCCTGGCCAGCGTTGGGGTTGCTGAGGACAGGGTGTCGGGGCAGGAAGCTGTCCTTCCTGTTTCTGCCCTCAAGGCCCTTCTTGTGAGCGTCTGTGTCTGAGGCATGTGGACACTCGGGCAGAGGAACCCGTCGGTGTGTTCTTTTTAAAGAGGGAGTCAAGCCGTGGAAGCAGATGGTGCCCACGGGGTTAAATGGAGGAGGCCAGGCTGAGAACCAAGAAGAAGGGGGTGGTCCTGGCATTGCAGGCTCCTTCCTGGCAGAGTCCTGTGCTGTCGGTCTGCCCATTGAAGGTGCAGCCCTCTCTTCTTAGCATGCCACGGAGTCTGAGAATCCCTGCAGTGGAAGGGACCTGAGAAGGTGTCCACAGTCTGGGCCTCCCAGTGTTCAGGACCAGGCGGGCTCCTTCAGGAGACCGCCCCGCCCGGTGTCCAGGATAAGCGCCCCATCCGCCGCCTCCACCGGGCCACAGACCCG